CGTCCTCGATACGATCTCGTCGGGAAAGGACATTAGCGCCGATATCGCAAACGTCTCCTCTCGATCATTCAAACACCCTGACGCTCTTCTGGTTTCTCCATCTCTCATATCAAATATACGAGAAATGTATCGCCGTTACTTTCATTCCCTTTCAGAGTATTCTCTCTTCCTGTTAACTTAAACTCAGCTTTTATCCAGTAAAGATTCTTTCCATATGTGAAAGATGGCTTGGTACGTCTGTATGGGACATTCTTTGTGTAATCTCGATTATTTTATATATGTATATATTTCTTTAAAGTATGCGTCCCCCATCCGCATATTTGTACGAAGAGTATGAAGGGATTATATATTGAACACAAATTGCCATACATGACGTTAGAACGTCTTCGAATAACTTCACATAATTTCATATTATAGAACGGGAAATTCTTCAGATATTCTCTTATTACAGTGCGTTTTCCGCACATTCCGAAATAATTTGTCTTTTAATATCCACGACCTGACTGCGTCTTTGTAGTCAGATTTGCGGTATAAGATATATATATATATATATATATATATATATATATATACATTTATATTATACGGTTATTTTATCTCTCCTATAAACCTAATTCTTAACCGTAAAAATAGTTTCGTGTATTCGAAACAAACTACTTTGCATTCTCGCCGAGTTTGAAATCTTTTGAATTTACGCATTGCTGAACTTCCCTTGTGTCGGCAGTATTGTAACCGTTTGTGCAACTATCTGTTTTAGATGCTCGAAGCAGAGATTCATCCGGAAAGCACGGAATAAATGACTCGTCCTCCCTTCCTCGATCTTTCGCAGGCTCTCTTTTTCTTTCTCTCCCTTTTTCCCCCGGCGGAATATTTGAATTTCGCAGATTCCCCAACGTTACCTTCGCGCGACGCTCTCTCCGGAGAGCGGATCGCGCGTCGAACGCGGACAGTATTTGTATTGGACGCGCGAGCGAATCGAGCCGAGGAATTTCTTCGGGGAATCTGCTGGGCCCGGACGTGGCGAAGGTACAGGAGACTGATGTCGTCGCCTCTCTCGTCTCGTGCCGTGTCGTGTCGTGTCCTCGCGATGGGATGCCATAGCAGAAAGAAGAAGAGAGGAAGAACGTGAAGTGGAGAAGGACGACGTAGCGGGGGACCGAAGGGAGGTTGCAGGATGCCGAAGGAAGTAAGGAGGATGCCGTAGGTATCCGGAATGGATTACGGAATCAGATGGGATAGCGGATCCGGAAAACCCTCTCCCCCTCTCTCTCTCTCTATCCAAGCACGACACCTCATCATTCCACCACGTTCGCCGAAGAGGCGAAGGGCGAAAAGAGGAAGAGAGGGACCAAGGGAGCGTTTGGTATCCTTCGACACACATCGCGCGTCACCATCCTACCCCGAGGCGTGCAGGGTGATTTAAGTCAGTGTTTACGCTCTCGTGTCTTCTGTACCCCTATCATCCTGCTGAGTCTTCCGGTCTTGCAAAGGTTTCGCGTCGGAATCCCTATTCCGTTGACTCTGCGATGTTGTATCACTCGAATCTAGATCCGGGAGATGCTATCGATAAAGCTCTCGTCGCGCGATTATTCGCTCTTCTCCGAAATTGTGATATATTAAACGTTATCGATAAGGTAGATGATTTGTAGAAAAGAAAAATATATTGATATTGTACGAAACAAAGAAAGTCCTTGATTAATAGTTTAGATATGTAATCCGTCAACGTTTACGGGCGCGTCAATTTTTGAACGCAACTTTTTCATTAACACGTATTTGCTCCAAAAACTTATCCCATTTCGCGCGCTTCATCTTCATCAGCAGGTTTATGCAACGTAAATCTAGTGTGATTGAGAAAGAGCGCGTCAGATCGTAAAATGCCGACCTACTTTATTAACTAGATTTCGATATCCACAACAACTGACAAACGTCAGCTTAGTGTTCAATATGTTCGCGAAAACGACAAAATTGACCTAATTAAAGATTTCAGTATATATCATGAGTAGCATATAATATATGAATATTAAAGCGGATAATTTAGCGGATAATATTTTCTTCTCTAATAATTTCAATCTTTTACCATATGATAAACAATTCATAACAAAAATTGTGTAGTTTTCTTCATAATGATGCTTTTCGAAATTTATTCGCAAAAATATTAAGTATGTAATGAAAAAAACTGAAAGATAAATATCAGTTACTACATTCCACAAAATTTGCCATTACTCGTTTGCATGTGGGCGGAAAAATTGCGATAGTATTTTTTTCGTAAGCGATTTTTCACAAAGTTCGCCCGATAATACTCGCTCGTGAAACGCTTACCGCATCGTTTTTAATTATTTCGAAAATGCTCATTTCGCGCTTAACTGAGCTTGTCCCGAAGCACTGATACCGCACAAGCGCAAGACTATATGTTCTCTATCCTCGCTCCTTTCCGTATTGCGTATATGTACCGATTCTTGGTGGCGTCACGTCGCGCCATCCCAGAAACTTGCAAAGTTTTAATCCAACTTGCAACATACCGGAGCGCTTCCGATAGGAGAAAAAAGAAGAGTTCGCGCGACGAGAAGAGTCGCCACCACGATAATATAATTTATTATTAGTCCCGCGACGAGTCTCGCCTGTTGATGAAATTTTAAGCCCGTTAATTATATTTCATTTAACTGTAAAGAAATTGACACAGTCATTATCAATTATTGATTTTTCAATATAATCAAATTACATTAATTGATATGTAGCGGTATGATCATGATTAAACAATTTTAATTTTGTTATATTTATTGAATGAGAACTGTTTTTCATGAGAATTTTCTAAGATATAAATAAGAAGGAGAATTTATTATTTAATAGCAATTTAATAAATGTCAACTTAGATACGACTTAAGACACAAATTATTGATCGCATTATAATAATCTACGCAAATATTGAAAATTGAAAAATTATTTTGGACTCTCTCCAACAGACTCCACGATATTTATCAAGAGATAAAGGAAATAAAATAATTATACTCTTGATAGACAAAAAGTGTAAAATTACAATAACATATATATATATATATATATATATATATATATATATATATAATGTAAAGTATAAAAATCATTTAAAGCTGAGCGATGATTTTTCTCATTCGAAATATAGCGGTAATCCAAATGGATGGAACATGGATCGGTTATCCATACGATTTTTATGTAAACGCTACATAATAAAATTAGCACACCGTTAATACTCGGTGCGAACGGCGGTTAAAGTTAATTTAATGATTTTCGTTATTGGCTTCCGACGCCGTAAAACTATCCTCGCACATCTGTTGCCGGCATCGATTTTAATATCGTTCGTGCGCCGCAGCGCGCCGACACGTCGCCGCGATCGTACCTTTGCGGATTCGGCTTCAGGCCGCGAGATCGAATTTTTCGTAGCTACGTCGCCGTCTCAGGACAAAACTTTGTTTCAATTTTATTCCCCACACTTTGTACATACGCACATTATAATATACAGGTGTATTTCGTTAATAATTTTCCTCAAAAATTATTACACTATGCTAAGTGCGTACGTTTGTTATAGATAATTCATCTTATTTATTAAATTATCCTATACCTTAATTAATCCTATACCTTAATTATCCTATACCTTAATTCCTAATTTTGGCGATTAAAAAATACTGATTAAAATCCGCTAAATATCCATATTTTTAAAATACGTGATACATTATTTGAGAATTATAATCGAAACGAGAGATCCGATTCACTTTCGTAAACATACCCTCAAGTTGTTTCAATAATTTTTCCCGGCAAGTGTAACAATGTCCGAAACAAGACTCGCTCGAGACCGGATAATAATCGCGGCTATCCCCGAGAGAATAAAGGACTCGCAAGCAAATGGCCATGGTGGTCCAACTTATTCGCGAAGCCCGGAAGCAATCACCCTCGATAGTTCTCTCTTATAGCCCGGAGGGGGTGCCCCGGCTTGTTACTATCCTCTGCGAGTTTCAAGAAACGTCGAGGCCTCCGGCTTGAGTTACTGAGATTGCCGAAGTTCGACCTTTCCTCGTCGTCGTCGCGCCCCTCTGTCGACTTCGTCGTCGTCGCCGGCCGTTTCTCGCCCCCTCAAATTCGACTTTTCAATTTGATATTCGCGAATCGCGCCGCTCTCGCTTCCGCCCCCATCCCATCCACCGGCGGGAGCTTTCTCCCAAGGTAGCACCTAAATCACCCCGCTCGTTCGAAGAAGCTGATCCCCGAGTTACGTACAAAGGCGTAGGTGTTATATCAAAGTCGGAATCGACGACTGGCGCGGAAGGGAAAGAGAATACTCGCGCGTTAGAACGTGCATGGCAAAGGATCTAATGTGTTCTCTTTCGGGGCGCGAATGACGAGGAGAAGAGACGGGGACGGCAGGGAGAAAGGGAGAGGACGTTCGACGTGAGCGAAATGTCCTTAGGGAATCGAGGATCTTACAAGAGTGTCTTCGGCATTATTCTCCACCTCGATCTATGCTTTTTATGGGCTCAACTTTTTGAAGGATGTGCAAACGACGAAATTGAACGCGCAGTTAGACATTAAAGAACGTCCGTCCCCCTTTACCCCCTCGTTGAATATATATATATATATAGACGGACGTGCGCCCGATTTTTCTCGTCCCTTGTTTCGCCTGAACGCGAGCCTCTCACGGAACGACGCGTTGAATGTGAAATGATCTTGAGTCACGTTTATTTACGCCGCCGAGCGCAAAGAACATTTGACAAATCGTGCATCAAGAGACACGATAGTGTCTCGACGCCAACTTTGCATACGTAAAATTAATGACAGGTCGGCTGTGTATGACTACATTCTTATCATTGACATATCTTATATATGTACCATGTGTATATGCAATTATCGTTTTTAATTAAAAATTCATTAAAATCCAATCAATTAAAATTCATTATATGTCGAGAAAATAAGAGAAGAAAGATGTAATAAAATAAAATATATAATTAAAAAATATGTAATTTAAAACTCACCGATACGATGCACACGTCCAACTGTAAAATTGCTCCGTCATCATTCGATGCTTTCCTGAGGCAGCTCCTTTTTTCTTGTTCACTTTTTGCTATTCTTCAATGGCACTCACTCGCGAAAGCACGATTAATTACAACCGCGCACGCATTAATTAATCGAATATAATTCACCCCGGCACTTTTCACAGCACTTTCGACATTAATCGCGCACTTTATTATATTTTATGACGAAATAATAACGCGAAAACTATGCATGAGGAGATAAATGTTCACGAATTGTGCAATATTTGAAAATAAAGTTAAATTCGTCGACAGTTTCACTGATTTTAATCGAATAAAACTCGTTTGCAAATACGGCGTTTTGACAAATTACAATTACAATGGCGTACAAACGTTGAATCGTAATAAGCGATTAACGAATTATTAAAACAAATGGAATTAATAAATATATTAATTAACCGTATTGCGAGCCATCCCGAATTCATAACAGTTTGTTAATGAACGAAAATGACACCGGTAACGCGACATTACGTGAATCGAATTGATAGCAGAAATATAAAATATTGTAAAAATGTATAGAATCGCTCGATATCTGTTAATATTCGCGATCACAGTTCGAGAGATAATGCGACGATATACAAAAGCGGTACGTGTCTGTCGCGTAAATGACAAGGTCAGAGTCATGCCTATAGATGTAAATAGCAAAGCAGTGTGCGTCACCGAGAGGGAGAAACATAATATAGTATAACACAATCACATATTTTTATAGGTATAGCATATAATTATTCTTTAAAAAATAATCAGTATATTGAAAGAGTTTTACCAGCTGTTTAATAATTGATATAAAACTGTTTCAATATATTGATTATTTTTCTTAAGGGATTACATTCCTCGTCGCCACAAAATATTTAACGAAATCAATTTACGCGTAATATTTTATTTTTCTCTTCGAATTTTTTATTTTAAATTAATTATTAATAAATGCTTTTTAAATAATTGCTTTTTCGTTACTTCAATCATTCGATCCAACGATTCAAATATTATTTCGTGCTCTCAATTCGAAAAATAGCAAGCCAATTATTGTATATTTATCAATGTTATTTCAGTCAAAATAGATATATTTGATTTATACACTTGAATTTTCAAGTAAAAATCGAAACAACACGAAATAGAAATTGTAAATTATCATTTTATTTTATGTCGCTATCTTCGTTTATATCGATAATCGTTTATTCACTGAGAGTGTTCGGATTGAAATATATTCTACATCACGCTTTAAATGTTTCGATACTAGTGTTTGATAGCTATCGGACACCTCGAATTCAGTATCGTCTTATAGTGCTTTCTCTCTCGCTCTTGTGCCGTGTGCCAAGCACGGAATGCCCCCTACTACTCTACCCCCACTTTCTCTCTCCCGGCCCGCGGCATGTGCGCTTCGCTTGTGTGAGTGTGACGTCAGTGAGTGCGTCACACAATGCCGGGATTTCCTTTCCTACCGGTGCGTAGTAGTGACGTAGTGACCTTGTTGTTATTCGCGGTCAGTCACACGACGACACTCGAGCCGGCGAGTTGAGATATAAGACGCTTCATATGTAATGTATATTATTTGTTAAAATATAATTGCGAGACTATCGAGAAACGTTGCAATACGATAAAATGCGCGTAGCGATTGACTTGAAGTGCGTGTATCGCGTGAAGTGTGAAGTGTCGGTAATTGTATCATATTTAAATGGTTAGCTTAGGTAAAGTTAATTGCGTGCAGTTGTATTAATTACGTTTTCGCGAGTAATTAATTATGTTTTCGCGAGTGAGTGCCACGAAAAAGCAGCAGAAGGAAACAGGAGAAGCGGACTTCGGAGGGCATCGGACGATGGTGAAGTAATTGTGAAATATAAGGTAAGCAACATAATTTGTGCGTTATTCTTTCTTCAAATTCATTACTCATTGTTTATCTGCGATAGTGCTCTATTTTAAATCATTGTTTAATATAATATAAGATATTTAACATATTACATATAAAATATTGTACGCGTAATATTTTTTTTAAATATTAATTATTTTGGATATTCTTTTATAATGTTGAAAATTTAATTTTATACATTATTTGTATTAAATATATATATATATAATTAAATATATATATAATATTACTAATTTTATAGAAAACTTTGACAAATAGAAATATTTGACAAATCAATATGGTATATGTAATACAATAATACAATAGATAAGACCTGTAATATAATAATATTCCGTTGTTGTGTAGCGTATCAATGAGCTTTAAATTACTTTCTATAATTTTAAAATAATAAATTTATATATAAAAAATACTTAAAATAATACAAAAGACTTTAAAATTAATTGATATATAATTTTTAAAGTTATTGGTAATAATAATTCGCGAATGATTACTAGAAAATATTATAATATAAAAATTTGCACGTTGCAACGTTTTAATGAAATTTGTGCATGTCAAGTTTTTACATTTTGGTCCAAATTATTATTTATTATATTTTATTAAAGCTCATCATTTGGAATTTGCATGTAATTTTGCCAATTTACATAATTTATATCAAATGTTCTTTTATTTTTTAATTTATTTTTTATTATATTACAGTATTCTTTTCCTCAATATTTTGAAATTGTTTGTAAAATGTAGTTTCCCGCGAAAGATATTTTATAATAAAACTGAGTGCTAGAGATATTAAAGCGAGACAAGAGCTTGATCAAATCCGTTTCACGTTGACGATAACTTTTCCGTAAAGGATTAATGATACGTTGTAAGCGCTTGTATCGAGATAACATGCTTGTTTGTAGACTACGCGCTATAAATTTGCGGGCTCTGGCAGTCAGATAAATGATACTATACCCAAGGCGGTTAGAAGGACCCCCCTGTGGGGGAATCTTCATCGCGCTGTGAAACTTCTACGATACAGTACGCGCCGTTCTCGTATCAACATCGATTTTTAACAAAAAGCGGTAGATATACGGCCGTGAGAAATTGCAATTTAAATTGGAAACGGACATTGCAAAACCTGCTCGTATAAGTTAATATTCGTGGGAATTGAATGACGAAGTGGAATCGTAAAAATCTACGCCATATTGATTAAATATTGTCATGAATTAAAATGAATAAAAGATTATACAAAAAGGACAAGAAGAAATAAAAAAAAGCATCAAAATATTAGGAGAAATGTTAGAAGAAATTGCATATTTTTTGAGAGAAATTTTTACGGCGTATATTTTTCCGTGTATGTATCGCGAGAGAATAAACACTACTATATTTTTTAAAAAGCTAAAAGTAGTCACGTAGATGATTTTGCTTTATTTTTATGACGTCGAAGTTAAGTTTCCTGCAGCGTTTCGTAATAACGATAAAAGTCGTAGAAGCCGATGTCTAAGGAGAAAGGTCACCGTGCTTTGTTCGGGGTGAGACAATGGCTTACCATGCTGACATTTCTCGGGCGAATCGCCGCGCGCCTAACATTTATTATAACGACCGACGTCCAACGTCATGACTAAAGTTTGCACTTTTATTAAGCTGCCGTCTTTCACAAGGGAACTCTAATTAGCTCCTTCGTTGCACATTTTTCAGATATGTATCCATGCGCTCGAACATGTAGACGGCGTATTATTCTCTGAAATTTAGAAAAAAAATCACAGTCGATATCAAATGAGATATATTTCGTAAATCAGATACATATAAACAATTTGGTATATAAATAGTTTATATATTTTGAACAAATAATTAATTATATTTATAAAATATATAAAATACTCTTGAGTTAATTTTGAGATACTAGAAGAGTTAATATAAAAAATAATTTTTATTCATACGTAAAATATAAAATTATATATATTGTTACGATGTATTCAAAATTCACACTATATCTAAAAATTTTATAAATATATATTCTTGTCATTATATATTCTAAGGGGCCTAAAGAAAATGTCTTGATAACCGAAAAGATAACATTTTGTAGTATAGGATTGAAATGTTCTACATACTTAGAATGCGAGGTATCACACAATCCGGAAGAAATCAATTTCCTTAAATACATGTAATAACGATTGATAAAAGATAAAGGGACCTGCGCGATATTTCTCCAAAAATTATAATGAATAAATTATTATCGGAATAACGTGAGATGTCGGAAACAGCAGGAGCGATTCGCGTCGCGAGATGCTTTGCTTTGAGCCGAAGACGGCTGTCGCAGCGGCCGGTTCGAGGGTTTGAGGGCTCAGCATGCATCGCATCCCTCACTTGGCAGCCAATATTGGTTCACACGAATATACATACGTGCACACGAGTGTGAAACACATACCACACCCGGGCATCGACCGGGCATCGAACGCTTACGTGTCGTCGACGAGTACACAGATCGCACCCCCGCCGAAATACCGCGGTGTCGCCGTGTCGACAGTAGCAAAAATGCGACGTTCGTGCTTTATATTGTTTTGACGCACTTATTCGTAGCGCGTTTTATATTTCAACGATATAGAATTTCATCGCTGAAAGGTCGGTTCCTCGATTACCTTGTTCGAAATTATGCAAAACGTCAAAATAGATTTTAACGCTTTATCATCCGCATCTCGAGATTAATCTTCCCGATTATTCCTTGATTTTTTGTCTTGCGTTTTACAAAAATACGAATGGGTGTGTAATATATACATCGGAATATCGATCTGCAATCGCTGGTGCGTGTCATCGGTACGGGAACAAATACACTCGCGGCTTGGGAATATTGTTGTCGTTATACTAACGCAAGCGTACACGACGGGAAATGCGACGTGTGCATGCTTTATATTGTTTTGACGTGTTTCGCGGAAATGCGTGTTGGGACGCAGCATTGCAATGGAGATTGGCTACAGGCGGGTTACAGATGGGTTGAGGGCGAAAAGGGGTCGTTGCGACAATAATTGTGTCTTTAACGGTGCCGGTTGTACGCTTGTCTCGCACATATACTCCCGGAAGTAAACATAGTTTCACTGAACCATAAGGGCGAATCTGGCTAAATAATTTTCTTCTTATTAGCTTAATCAAAGATAATTGGCATGCAATATTTATTTGCTCAAAATGTTTAATTTATATAAAAATGAGAAGAAAACGATTTTTTGAACAGATTCAGTTTCTTAATAAAAATCTGAAAAAAAAACTCTTCATATATTTAATTAAATAAAAATTATTTAAAAGGAGTTACTTGAAATAAAATAAAAATTTTTATAATAAATTTCTTTTAACATGCATATATAAATAACAACTATTAAAATAATAGGTAGTTAAAACGCATGAATGGTAATGCATAACTTGAATATTTACTTGTAAAATTTTTTACGTCAAACACTTTTATATACACATGTTAATCAGAAATTTTTTTAACTCTTAAATTGTATTAATAAAAAAAAATCTTTCGATTAATCGATCGCCTTGTTATAGCTACATTTGCATAAATCTTCTCATGATCGTACTCCCATCCCATAAGGGATGACAGAGAATCGCGGCGCGTGAAGGGCCAACGTAAGATAATCTCGTTTAATAATCCTCGCAAGCTAGATTGAAAGCGCGTTCACATGCAATTAATGGAACATTTCGATCGCAATATGCTTCGGGGGATAGGCGTAACATATGCATGATATTCATCGTCGTCGTTCGATACCCCTTTATCATGGATGCACCTGTACACGCGACTCGGAAAATTGCTTGTGCAAGATTCAATAAAGTTTAACCGTCACATTTTTCTACGCATCTATTATAATTGGCTAATGCTTAGGCATGCCAGATTTTTTAACTAGCGACATATCGTCGACATTTTTTAATATTAATGAAAATTTATCCCGTAAATTTTTCAACAGAGCAATGCTAATTAAATGTAAATTTTGATTGATCTTTTTCCTTCTCTTTTTGAAAAAGTTTAAATGAAAAGAGATACAGTTACATGCCTCGTGACACGCATGATCTGCGAAGCGCATTTATACGATGCTCGTTTAACAGCCTACTCTCTATCATTCCAAAGTGACTGTGATCTATGTGTCAGCGAGATGCCAGGCATATGCGCTCGATGATATTTCACTGGCTATCGAGTGCGTATCAAATCTGTCACCGCCATGATATTGTGCTTCGAAGCGACTTTAAATGCACGTTAAATCCTTCGTTAATTTTACGCACTTCACAACGCGATTAGATTATGATATCACAACTATAAACTTTATTAAATAAAATTGTGTTAATATATGGAAAGATTTTGATGAAAATAAATCTGTAAGATACTTAAACGATAATTTCGTAATTGTGAAACACTATTTAAAGTCATTCAATTTCAAATTGGTGTTAAAACTGAAAAAGTAATAATTTAATAATTTTAGAAATAAATATTAATACATTCACATTAACACATTAATTTTAAATAAACACAATTGAATTATTAATGTGTGAGAAATGTCGGCTTCTCTTCCCTAGTATCTTAAGATGTAGCAATAAATCCATTAAAACTTGTTTCCTTGGAAAAGTTTAGGAAATGCAAAGTCTAATGTATGTGTGTATATTGTATATGTGTGCACACAATATCAATGTTGTCTTTTGTTTCAGGATTGTGTAAATTAAAATTTATTTCTGTACATTTAAGTATGTTATTTGAGCGTTAATAATTAATGTCTGTATTAAAAAACTGATGGTGTATACTGAATTATTTGTTTCATGCTGGAATTATAAACTTTTCTCGAAGTTTTGTTTGGAATCACCAAACTACACCACCTCTTAAATGTTTTTCTTTGCCAATTTGAAGTTGTAACTAATTGAGATGTAGTCTTGTTATTACAGTCGTGTTTACCTTCTACAATCCTAAATAAAGAACAACATGGAAGGTGCAAGTTAAAGTTAAACAATTTCCTGAAATTTA